CCCCTTCCACCTTCTCTTCTGGCTGCTCCTCCTTCGTCAACAAGGAAAGAGAAAGAGGAACATTGCCGTTTGGACCCTCTGGGTCACAAACCGAAAAGGACTCAGGAGAGCTGTTGCTGTAATCCAGCCAACTGGAGACACATGCCCCAGACACAGTGGAAAGACCAGATAAAAACAGAGGGGACAACAATTACCAGCACTAACCTCCAGTGGAAATATTTCAAGGGAAACTACAACCAGATTACTCTCCGTCTAATAAGTTATCTGGGACCATATTTATTTTTGTGCCAAAATGACCCGATTTGCCCCTAAACATGGCTTCAGCCTAGTCGTGCTCAGGGTGATCAGGACACAAGTACAAGGAGAATCTACTACCAGAGCACTCACCAGTCCATGCAGCAGTATCCCCAGGAGTTTCAAACTTCACATCTCGGAAGGCACACCTTTATGACCTTAAGGGAAACAGCTCCCTAGTCTGGGGATCTCCACCCTTGACCCTGTAAAGTACCCTACCAGTCCACCAGACAATAGAAAATAGAGTCCCACAACACAGGGTCTGGTGTCAATCATATTACAGGCCATACCTGTGTGTACAAAGCAGGGTGTGGGTACCATTCCCCTTGGTAATTTTAGCCATAGGCAACAAATAAAATGTATGTATACGAATCTGCACATGCATGACCATCACCTAAGATGCTAACAAAAAAAACTGAAGCTATGCCTAATTGGGAGGAGGTTATGCCTGGGATTTCCTCTTGAGTCATGCAGGCCATAGATGGGTCGAAAATCGGCCGATTTTTCGGCCGAAAATAAAATCGGCCGATTTTCGGATCGTTAGTGGGCTATTTTGTTCGGCCGTTTTTCGGTATTTTGGCCGTTTTTTTTAATCGGGAAAGTTGGAAAAAAATCGGCCGATTTTGCCGATCGGCCGATTTTCGCGGCAATAATGGGTTAATCGTCCGGTTTTTTACCGATAAAAAATCTGCGCATGAGCAGTGACCTGCAAGAGGAAGACAAAAAGAAGAAAAAGAAGAAGAGGATGAAGAAGAGGATGAAGAAGAGGAAGAAGAAGAGGATGAAGAAGAGGATGAAGAAGAGGATGAAGAAGAGGATGAAGAGGATGAAGAAGAAGAGGATGATGATGATGAAGATGAGGATGATGATGATGATGATGAAGAAGAAGTAGGAGAAGATGATGATGATGAAGAAGAAGTAGGAGAAGATGATGATGAAGAAGAAGTAGGAGAAGATGATGATGAAGAAGAAGTAGGAGAAGATGATGATGAAGAAGAAGTAGGAGAAGATGATGATGAAGAAGAAGTAGGAGAAGATATGATGAAGAAGAAGTAGGAGAAGATGATGATGAAGAAGAAGTAGGAGAAGATGATGATGAAGAAGAAGTAGGAGAAGATGATGATGAAGAAGAAGTAGGAGAAGATGATGATGAAGAAGAAGTAGGAGAAGATGATGAAGAAGAAGGAGGAGAAGATGATGAAGAAGAAGGAGGAGAAGATGATGAAGAAGAAGTAGGAGAAGATGATGAAGAAGAAGTAGGAGAAGATATGAGAAGAAGTAGGAGAAGATGATGAAGAAGAAGTAGGAGAAGATGAAGTAGGAGAAGATGATGAAGAAGTAGGAGAAGATGAAGAAGAAGTAGGAGAAGATGATGTAGGAGAAGATGATGAAGAAGTAGGAGAAGATGAAGATGATGAAGAAGATGAAGGAGAAGAAGAAGTAGGAGAAGAAGAAGAAGAAGTAGCAGAAGAAGTAGGAGAAGAAGTAGGAGAAGGAGAAGGAGAAGGAGAAGATGAAGAAGAGGAAGAAGAAGAAGAAGAAGAGGATGATGAAGATGAAGAAGAGGATGATGATGAAGAAGATGAAGAAGATGAAGAAGAGGAAGAAGATGAAGAAGAAGATGAAGAAGAGGAAGATGAAGAAGATGAAGAAAGATGAAGAAATGAAAGAAGAAGAGGAAGAAGAGGAAGAAGAGGAAGAAGAGGAAGAAGAAGAAGAAGAAGAAGAAGAGGAAGAAGAAGAGAAGAAGAAGAAGAAGAAGAAGAAGAAGATGATGAAGAAGAGGATGATGAAGAAGAGGATGATGATGAAGAAGGAGAAGAAGGATGAAAATAAGAGGAATTCCAGTCCGGCAAAAAGTGTCTCTGCAGAGAGCTCCGCTATTTCTTTGACAGTTCTTTGACAGTTCCTTGACATTTACAGCGGTTGCAACATTGTATCTATTTGTTTCCGAATAAAAACATCTGTATCCTAAATGGATACAAATAGATACATTGTTGCAACCTCTGTAAATGTCAAGGAACTGTCAAAGAAATAGCAGAGCTCTCTGCAGGGACACTTTTTGCCGGCTGTAGACGGGATGAAAATCGGCCGATTTTGTTTTACCATTGGTGGTAACGTCGGCCACTTGAACGACCGATTTTTTGTTTTTTTAAAAGAAAAATCGGCCGATTTTCGACCCATCTATGGCCTGCATTAGTGTCTCTTAGCTAACTGAATCCTTTGGTCACATTAAAATGTTTCATTCTGAAAACAGACAGCATAGATATAACATTGACCTTTAGTCATAATTTTCCTTCAAACATGACAGATGTTACAATGTGTTGAAAAATTAAAGAACTCCAAGAAAAAGGCTATTTCTGTTAGCTCCATATGTATATTTATTGAAGAAATATTTAGTTTTTTGTTCAATGTGCTATTGGGAATTTTCTGCACCCGTCTATATTAAATCCTCTATCACATGCATGCCAGCTGAGATTAATTATACTGACACCTGGGATAGCAAATACTGGGTGAAGAGGTCAAGAGACACAAATCATACCTCCTGTCACTTTGATGCCATATTACATGCACTGGTGGTAGTGACCATTTTAGCTGCTAGCATTTTTTGGGGGTTTCTTTGGTTGCTGTGTTCAAGGTTTTCACCTGCTGTTTATAATGGCTTTCACACATTATAGCAACCCATTACAATAGTGCAGTAGGTGCTGTGACATTAACTATTGCTTTATATATGTATACATTTTAATATCAGTAAATAAAATAAAATAAAAAAAAAAAAAAGCAGAGTACCCCTCGCATTATACAAAAAGCAGCATAATACACATACCTGCACAGAAACAAGAATTTGTACATATAACTGCTCTTAACTGGTCTTAAAATACATAAAAGAACCCCAAGAAGTGAAAAATTATTAATTTTCAATGTTTATCCGACTTCAAAAGGACACTGCCTAAGAGGATTAAGAGTACAGATTCTCCACAAGGTCTTTGAAGTCTGTCTACCAAGAAACAGCACATATCAGCATGTAGTAAAGCTGCAGTGTATGCTCTGGGCATTTTGTATAAACCATTTCAACACAATATACACATAGTAGGGAGGTCTGTTGAAGGGCATTTTCAGCACACATCACAGGTGAAGCATTTTTTAACCATTTTAATTGTGCACTAACAATTGCTTTAGGTTGATAGTAAAATATAAGGTGACTTAAGGTAACACACAAAAACCGTGTACTTTATGTTTTATGTATATTAAAATAGACAAAAGGAACCATACATACAAAAATCAAAAAAACAAATACAAAAATACTGAAGCACAAATATTGAACATAACTGGGAAACAAAAATACATATAAAGCTATTGCAGGATCAACAAGAAAATAAACAAAGACAGGTGGTACTGGAACACAGAACAAGCAGTGCTCTGCATGACCTTCAAGTTTTTTTTTTTTCTTTACACACAAGAAAAGGCACCGCTGAGGTGTAAATCTCTGGAACAATTTGTTAAAAAAATGACATGCTAAACCTCAAATGTGGTTAGAATGCAGATATGAATTATACTGAAAGTATAACTAAAATACTGAAATCTCTCTTCCACTGTCAAATCGACATTGAAGCCTTTTCATGAATATGAAAAGAATATGACAAATTTAACATGCATGCTTGACAGAAAAGAAAAAAACAAAAAGTGTGAAATGAAAGTTCTGAGAAAAAAAAAAAAAAAAAGGTTACACAAGATAAAAGCTTTGTAGCCAAGAAGAATACTGCACCAAAGTTCAATGCATGAAGAATTCTTGATTGGTGCAAAGATAAAACAAAACAAATTACATTTCTGTACAAGCACCTCAAATAAGTGCATGATCCCTTGCGTAGGAAAAAAAAAAAAAATCAGGTTTATAAAACTCACAACATACTCTAATACATGTCCACAGCTATTTTGTTTGCCATTCATCCAATGAAGACTGAATATAGAGGGTTGGAGTGTTGCACCGGATCACAATGAAGCATGAAAACAGCTTGAACACAACAAAGGTTTGGAGTGGAGTATGACTGCTGCATGGTCTGCTGATTTTTCATATTTTATTGTGACAGTGGCCACACCAGAACAAAAATGAACATCTAACATTAGTGCCAAGTAACTGAGGGATTAATAAAAAAATATGTAATTTTTCTTCTAGCCTGCTTGCACATAAAAATCCCTGCCAGATCAGGTTCTAGTGGGTCTGCACAAGTCCAAATTCAAGTTGTAGATGCCAGTGATTTAAGGAGGGTGCCTCGGCAACCCTAACTTACAAATGCCCATAAATCTTGCACAATGCCCCTTCTTTGTAGTGTCTTCGTTTAGTCTTTTCTCTCTAGTTTTTGCCAAGTTGTTGAAGTCTGCCCCCTCCTCCTGAGGAACTAGTAAAAGCACATCCAGCGAACATGAAGCAGAAGGAAATTAACATGACTTTGGACTGGGTTTGCTTGTGCTGGAAGCTTGGCCATAGTGCACTATGGAGGAAACTAAAAGCCAATAAAGCTTAGAATGAGTCTTTATTTAACAAAGAAAAAAGCACAACAATGGCAAGTCGTCACACAGTACTCAACCAGTAGGCACCAGTGGCAAGAGCAGGATCTGGAGACTTAGCATTTCAGATGTTATCTCAGGTAACATGATGGAGCACACGGAGAAGCAAAACAAGTGTGTATACAGTTGCCGGAGTGCATTTATATTTCCTCCACACCATGAGCAAAGATCATAACCAGGCCAGGCTCCAGCACCATGTCCTCTCCCATATGTTGGTTCTCACAGGCCATCACCACAACAGCCTGCTTTCCTGGAATCCGTTTTGCCACATAGTTCTCGTAATACCTCCGGTTCATCTGTCGTGTCTCAAGTGTGGCCAGGCCCTGTGGCCAGTTGCGCTCATGGGCATTCTCTATGAGCTCATTCACTATAGATGCTGGGCAGCCACTTTCTACTAGTGAGCGTTTGATAACAGCTTGCAACACAGCGTCTGGCGTCGAGATCATTCCACCCCATCGGGTCACACGTGCAGGCTGTAAAGAGTTTACCCACCTGTATGGTAAAATCAAAGGGTAAATGTAATCTTAGATAAGCCAGACAATCATTTCAAATACTTGAATGTGTCGACGACGCATCTATTAGAACATTTAAGTGCTTCTTGCAATGAAACAAATGGAGTTTACTAGAGACAACTATCAAGTACTTCAAAAGAACCACATATACAACATGTTTGGTATGTGGCAGTTTAGAAAAGGATTGGAAGATTCTGAACAGTTGGTTCTGGTTTATAAACTTGCCTATATATGGTCACCATTATGAGCTGTAGTCTGAGGATTCGACCACATTAAAAATAAATCTGCGTTCAAAAATCAGCCCCCGGGGGGGACCCTTTGCGATCTGGTCTGCCTGTCCGTTTTTCAGGTGGACCTGATTGGAAGCTTTATATGGTTCTATGGGCAGGCTGATATAAAAACGGACTTGTGTCCCCTGCGTCCTTTTCAGTTTTTTCTGACCTAAATGTTATGGATTGGAGGAAGCATGATGTAAAAGAACACAAGTCCGTTTCCATCTGGCTGCCATACAGCCATCACGGGTCCACCCGTCTGCTGTGTAAATGCAGACACAAATCAGCACAGATGAAAAAAAAAAACAAAAACAAAAAAAAAAAAAAACACGAGACACCTGTCCCATTCAGCTCTGATTCACAGGGGGATCTGCTCATGGATCCCCTGCTGAATGGAGCAGAGGTACACCATGTGAAAGAGCCTTAAAAGATTTGAGATCACAGGAGCCCTATCATACAGCCATTAAACTGATGCACCCTATGTCAAAAAAATAAAATATTCAGCATTATCATCCTAAGTGAAGATAAAGGGTCAAGGCAATTGAACCGAGAATGACTGACTTTAAGACAATGTTGCTAGGAAAGGACCAACTTCTTTTAGATGGCTTGGTGTAGAAAATATTCATTACCTGTATCCTATATCTCTCTCATAGACCCCCCATGTCATTCAAATGTGTTTTATACCTTTAGTAAATGTAACTTACTTTTTAACAGGTCATTATGATTCCTCATTAGGACATCCCTTTACCAATAAATATAGTCATGTTAATGAGCTGGACCCAAAATTGACCAGTCAGTTAACTTCCAATCTATTTTTCAGTGGCAACAGATGCACCCACGATCAAACTTCTCAAGTGAGAATGCGAAATTTCTATGGATACCACTACTTACTCAAGAATTTCATTATACTCTATTGTTTCCTCCAAGTTCTGAAGATTAGGGTTGGCACTGCGGATTGCTCTCATATATGCCTTTAGCAACTGGATGTCACGTTTCTGTTAAAATGTTAAAAAAAAAAAAGAAAAAAAAGAAAAAGATAAATACCCTGAATTTAAAGTAAAGTAAGATGTTGTTTACATTCCTATTTACTATGTTGCTTTGCTATTTGGAAAAATGACAAAGTGCAGCACAATATAGCTTATCATCAATTACATTTATACAAACACACTAAGTCTTTGTGAAAACATGAAAATATTCTATGAAATGTAAATAAAAAAAGTTACTAAATATGCGTTTATCCACGTTGATTATCAATACTATGGAGGACATGGCATGCAGAGATGTTTTTTCCACTTGCCTTCCATCTCTTAAATGCTAACCCCAGGCACTATAATATCCATAACATTAGAAGGCTTAGAATGCATTTACTGCTGATGTGTTATAATGTAATGTCAGCAATCTTCAAACAGCTCAACAGTTTTTACCAGATAATACAGATCCCTTTGTATTTGTGGTCCCTGCTGACTTCAGTTCATTTTGTTAATGACCAAGGATAGTTGAGGGAGTAGACATGACACAGTCACCAGTGCCTGTGAGACATGGGGTGCCAATATCGCAGGAAGCAGTACTATCTGGCTAAAGTAAAAACCAAATCAAAACAAAATAAAAACTAGAAAAGCTACAATTTCTGGGGAAATTGTGTGAAGTGTTCTTGCCTCCACCAGTAGTCTACAACTGGAGTGGATGGAGTAACTGGGTGGAGTGGCTTGAGTAACTGTTGTGTGGTTGGAGTGGCTGGAGTAACAAACTGCTCCAACTTGCTCACTTCACTGGCGGTTGCCATCTTCAAATGGTTGTAGTTTAAAAATGATAATTCCTACACTGAAGAGCTTTATATTGTGAGAATCACAAGACCCAGACCTACATTTTGATGCATAGTATTGCTCTGAAATATTAAAAATAAAGGCACAGTCGCAGTTTAGAAATTGCCCTTCAAATTTGAGGTGGCTAGAGTGGAGTTTCAATGAATGTCAATGGGCGGCGTGAGTTGCAAACAAATGGGCATATTGTGAAAACTATCAGGACTATGGCTTAGCCGTGGACATTTTTAGTGGCAGCGGGGATAGCTGAACGTTTTGATACAAGATTTGTGTAGGTGGGCTTGAAAATGAGGGAGTGATGGCAGTTTAGAAATCATGTCCTGATTTTTCAGCTCACACTGAAGCTTTTGTCAGCTCCCACCCTAGTTTTGAACATTCCGCCATTCATTCCTATGGGACCAATTTCACCACAAAAACATCGATATTTCATGAACCATTCGGCGAAATGTTCCACAAAGTAATAGCACACCAATCGGGAACAATCCGCACGTTTCGGTATATTACTTGTCTATGTAGTGTAAAAACTGTGGGAGGAGTTAGGGTTGAAAAATTTGGCTATAATAATAAGAATATATATGTGAGATAACAGTAAGTGGTCTTGCAATGCAAGAACACTTAATAAATAAAATGTTTATAACTGCTTGCCACCACTTGGCAGCCCTTTAACAGGGTCTTAATGTCAGGAGGTAGAGGTAGCGTCCTGATTAAGTGATTGGCTATCACAATACACACACGATTGGTAGCTCCCTATCAAAAACAATGACCAGGGGTGGTCCTTAACCGCCTCCCGCCCGCCATATAAGGTAATGACTGGCACAAGGCGGTTCTCTCGTTCTGGGAGAACGTCATATGACGTCCTCCCATTCTAACCACGCATGCGCGGCTCCGGGAGCGTGCAGCGCGGCGATCGGTGGTGCGCTGTGTCCCTCGGACACAGCGGATCACCGATCAACGGAAAGAGCCAAAGATGTCGGCTCGGCCATTTGATCAGCGGTGTCCAATCACAGCTGATCACATGTAAATAGGGAAATGCCAGTTATCAGCATTTCTCTCCTCACGAGAGGTGAGCCGGTAATCGGCATCCCTCAGAGGGGACATGTGCACTAATCATCAGGGCACTGATGATCAGTGTAGCCCCAGCAGTGCCACCTGTCAGTGTCCAGCAGTGCCAGCGCCCATCAGTGCTACATATCAGTGCCTACCAGTGCACATCAATGCCACATATCAGTGCCCATCTGAGCTGCCTTTTAGTGTCACCTATCAGTGCCGCCCATCAATGTATCCTATCAGTGCCAGTCAGTGCAGCCTATCCGTGCCACCTATCAGTGCCATATATGAGTGCTGCCTTTCAGTGCTCATCAGTGATGCCTGTCAATGCCCATCAGTGCCACCTATCAGTGCCACATTTCAGTGCCCATCACTGCAGCCTAATTAGCGCACATCAGTGAAGGAGAAAAAGCACTTATTTACAAAATTTTATAACAAACTAAAAAAAAACTTTTTTTTTTTTTTTTAAATAATATTTTCAGTGTTTTTTAGTTTGTTTAGCAAAAAAAAAAAAAAAAAACAAAAAAAACCCAGGAGGTGATTAAAATACAAAAACGCTGGATCATTATGGGGCTCAGGTAAGTATTGAGGGGGCTGGGAGCACTGCTGCACACAAGGTTTTTTTTTTTACCTTCATGCATAGAATGCATGAAGGTCAAAAACCTTGAGCCTTTACAACCACTTTAATAAATCACCAGATGTGGGGCAAATGTAGGGACATTTATTGTCAAAACACACATACAATATACACACACAAACTTATTGCCAGAAGTATTGGCACACCTTCCAAATCATTGGATTCAGGTGTTCCAATCACGTCCATGACCACAGGTGTATAAAATCAAGCACCTAGGCATGCAGACTGCTTCTACAATCATTTGTGAAAGAATTAGTCGCTCTCAGGAGCTCAGTGAATTCAAGTGTGGTACCATTAGAGGTTGCCACTTGTGCATTAAGTCCATCTGTGAAATTTCCTTCCTAATAAATATTCCACGGTCAATAGCAAAAAGACCTCCAAACTTCACGTGGCCTTCAGATTAGCACAACTACAGTTAGCACAACATACACTATATTGCCAAAAGTATTGGGACGCCTGGCTTTACATGCACATGAACTTTAATGACATCCAAGTCTTAGTCGGTAGGGTTCAATATTGAGTTGGCCCACTCTTTGCAGCTATAACACCTTCAACTCTGCTGGGAAGGCTGTCCACAAGGTTTAGGAGTGTGTCTATGGAAATGTTTTTCCAAAAGCGCATTTGTGAGTTCAGCCTCTAATGTTGGACGAGAAGACCCGGCACGGAGTCTCCGCTCTAATTCCTCCCAAAGGTGTTCTATTGGGTTGAGGTCAGGACTCTGTGCAGGCCAGTCAAGTTCCCCCACCCCAAACTTGCTCATCCATGTCTTTATGGACCTTGCTTTGTGCACTGGTGCGCAGTCATGTTGAAAGGGACCATCCCAAAACTGTTCCCCACAAAGTTTGGAGCACACAATTGTCCAAAAAAAAAAAAAAACTTGATATGCAGACACCTTAAGAGTTCCCTTCACTGGAACTAAGCAGTTAAGCCCAACCCCTGAAAAACAACCCCACACTATAGTCCCCTATCCGCCAAACTTTACACTTGGCACAATGCAGTCAGGCAAGTACCGTTCTCCTGGCAACCACCAAAACCAGACACGACCATCAGATTGCCAGACAGAGAAGTGGGATTCATCACTCCAGAGAATTTGTTTCCACTGCTGTAGAGTAAAGTGGCGGCATACTTTACACCACTGCATCTGACGCTTTGCATTGCACATGGTGATTTAAGGCTTGGATGCAGCTGCTCAGCCATGGAAACCCATTCCATGCAGCTCTCCAAGCACTGTTGTGCTAATCTGCAAAATCAGTAGTTAAAGACCTCCAAACTTCATGTGGCCTTCAGAGAGTTGGCCATTTCTGAACACTGCGCTTCAGCATGTGCTGACCCCGCTCTGTCATTTTAGATGGCTTACCACTTCGTGGCTGAGTTGTTGCTGTTCCCAGTTGCTTCCACTTTGTTATAATACCACTAACAGTTGACTGTGGAATATTTTGTAGCAAGGAAATTTCACAGATGGAGTTATTGCACTCATATACATACACAGATACAGTATCTCACAGGAGTGAATACACCCTTCACATTTTTGTAAATATTTTATTATATCTTTTCATGTGACAACACTGAAGAAATGACACTTTGCTACAATGTAAAGTAGTGAGTGTACAGCTTGTATAACTGTAAATTTGCTGTCCCCTCAAAATAACTCAACACACAGCCATTAATGTCTAAACCGCTGGCAACAAAAGTGAGTACACCCCTAAGTGAAAATGTCCAAATTGGGCCCAATTAACCATTATCCCTCCTTTGTCATGCGACTCGTTAGTGTTACAAGGTCTCAGATGTGAATGGGGAGCAGGTGTGTTAAATTAGGTGTTATCGCTCTCACTCTCTCATATTGGTCACTGGAAGTTCAACATGGCACCTCATGGCAAAGTACTCTGAGGATCTGAAAAAAAGAATTGTTGCTCTACATAAATATGGCCTAGGCTATAAGAAGATTGCCAAGACCTTGAAACTAAGCTGCAGTACGGTGGCCAAGATCATACAGTGGTTTAACAGGACAGGTTCCACTCAGAACAGGCCTCGCCATGGTCGACCAAAGAAGTTGAGTGCACGTGCTCAGCATCATATCCAGAGGTTGTCTTTGGGAAATAGACGTATGAGTGCTGCCAGCATTGCTGCAGAGGTTGAAGGGGTGGGGGGTCAGCCTGTCAGTGCTCAGACAGTACGCTGCACACTGCATCAAATTGGTCTGCATGGCTGTCATCCCAAAAGGAAGCCTCTTCTAAAGAGGATGCACAAGAAAGCCCGCAAACAGTTTACTGAAGACAAGCAGACCAAGGACATGGATTACTGGAGCCATGTTCTGTGGTCTGATGAGACCAAGATAAACTTGTTTGGTTCAGATGGTGTCAAGTGTGTTTGGTGGCAACCAGGTAAGGAGTACAAAGACAAGTGTGTCTTGCCTACAGTCAAGCATGGTGGTGGGAGTGTTATTGTCTGGGGCTGCATGAATGCTGCCAGCACTGGGGAGCTACATTTCATTGAGGGAACCATGAATGCCAACATGTACTGTGATATACTGAAGCAGAGCATGATTCCCTCCCTTCAGAGACTGGGCTGCAGGGCAGTATTCCAACATAACGACCCCAAACACACCTCCAAGACTACCACTGCCTTTCGAAAGAAGCTGAGGGTAAAGGTGATGGACTGGCCAAGCATGTCTCCAGACCTGAACCCTATTGAGCATCTGTGGGGCATCCTCAAATGGAAGGTGGAGGAGTGCAAGGTCTCTGACATCCGCCAGCTCCGTGATGTCGTCATGGAGGAGTGGAAGAGGACTCCAGTAGCAACCTGTTAACCCTCTTGGGCATGGAGTTCACCAGAGCTTAAGGCAGTGCTGGAAAATAATGGTGGCCACACAAAATATTGACACTTTGAACCCAATTTAGACAATTTCACTTAGGGGTGTACTCACTTTTGTTGCCAGCGATTTAAACATTAATGCCTGTGTGTTGAGTTATTTTGAGGGGACAGAAAATTTACACTTATACAAGCTGTACACTCACTACTTTACATTGTAGCAAAGTATCATTTCTTCAGTGTCACATGAAAAGATAGAATAAAATATTTACAAAAATGTGAGGGGTGTACTCACTTCTGTGAGATACTGTACAGGGGGCAGACAAAAAAAAAAAAAAAAAAAAATGGAAACACACGATTTGCAGGTTTGAAAGTGACGACATGTTTCGTGTTGATAGCGTAAGTGATGTCACATTCTTTTGCTTCCGCTGCATGATGAGACACCTGGCTAACAGGTGAGAAACCTCACCTTCGTCATTCACTGCTAGTAATACAGAGTTGTTTCAGTGATTACTGAGCTTCAAAGAGGGCAAATTGTTAGTGCCTGCGTAGCTGGTGACTCCGACTAAAGTTTCTAATTCATTTGCCACATTGAGAGATACAGTATTAAAAGAGAATACATATACATATACAATACAAACACACACACACACACTTTCTGGGATACTGATCAGCATGATCAACTGACCAAAATAGACAAAAAAGGAAATTGCGCAGGGTTGTGACCTGGAATAAGAAAATTCTTGCAAAAGTGACTCCCCCCCTTTCTCTTCTGTTATTTTCCCCCTCTCTTATTTTCATATGTAAATAACAATTGTACAAAATCCCATATCTTCCCGATCAAAAGAAAAAGAAAAAAATAAATTCACCACTTCCCCTTCATACACATGTAAAATCCCCCCCCCCCCCATAGATCATCAGTTTAGAGATATGGAGGTCGTCTGGTGCCGAATTATTGCTCACTCCAGCGTGTACAGCCTGTGGGCTGAATATAAAAAAAGAACAGATTCACATCGATCAATGTGGATGAAGAAATCTCTGCCACAAAAAAAAAAAAAAAAAAAAATGAATAAGCTGAAGCATAGGAGCAAAACCCATTGATGTCAGAATAATCAGATCGGAGCATCGGTGGAGTGTTTTGTTTGCAGAGATGCCAATAGTTAGCAATAAAACAGTAAATCAATAAAACGACTACTATTTTTGATTTTTTTACTTTTTTTTCTTTTAAACTGTAAACTCCAGATGTTGGGGTCTCTCAAAATGCAATTTCCTAATATCTTTCGAGACCCTGTGTAAATATGTACCCTAGACTGTGCTGTGCTCTATACGAATACTCCACTAGTGTGTGGTAGCAACAGAAGCAGTCCTTTAGGCAGAAACCAGGTTGGCCAGGGCAGGAGGGACAAAAAAAAAAAAATGCGGGTGTCATGCCTAATTCCGTGTCTGCTACAGACAGATCTTTGGGGTGATTTTTTTTGTTTGGGGTACCAGGAATGGCATCAGGAAAATGCATCTCATGCAGCCAGGTCACTGCATCAGGCTTGGGAGTTTGGGCCATAGCACCTTCTGGATACAAAAGGGCTGTGTTGATCTCTTCTTGGAAGTTTAGGAAGGATCCACTTTGTCCAGTTGCTTTGTAAAGCACAAAAGCGTTGTACAGAGCCAATTTAGATAAATATACAGACCCTTTTTTGTACTAGCATCTGGCTTTTATTGGAAATAAAGTACAGCTTCATCATCTGGTCATTGAAGATCACCCCTCCCCAATGTTAATGTTATCGTCGTGGACACATAGGGGCTTAACACCAGCTACCGTGGAAATTTGGATAGTCGTGTCTGCTTGAATAGAGGACAGGAAGAAAACATTCCAATTGTCCTTCCACTTCACTGTGGGCAATTCATTTTTCAAGCAGGCTTTCTCCCCTTTTCTAAGACTGGTATTTACAAGCAATTAGGGGAAGCCCTGGCGATTAGGTCGCATGGTGCCACATGCGCCAATTCAAAGATTGTACAAATGTCTAAAGAGTGGCACGCTTGCATAAAAATTGTCCAAGTATAAGTGGTACCCTATATAGAAAGGGTGACACCAAGTCCCAAACAAGCTCCCCATGTAGTCTGGGCATCCGGGGGTCTCCACATGACTATCTTTTCCCTCGTAAAACCCAAATATTACATGTTTAGATTGTAAGCTCCACGAGCAGGGCCCTCCTATTCCTTCTGTACTGAAGTGTATTGTAATTGTACTGTCTCCCTTATATTGTAAAGTGCTGTGCAAACTGTTGGCTCTATATAAATCCTGTAATAATAATAATGTATATATTGTATGTTCCCTCTCACAGGTTTTTTACATTTTGACCCCATATCTGGCACACTTGCTGGGGAGAAATTGTTTGAATGCAAAGCGGCCAGAAAAACTAACAAGGGATTCAACACAGATGTTTTGCTGGGAACTATACACATCTACAAATTTTTGGTTAAGGTGATTTACGAGGGGGCCGAATTCTGTAGAGCCTATCATACTCAGGGTCACCCCGAGGATGACAGAGTGTATTGTCATTGAAATGCATAATTCGTATTATATTCTCATATCTATACCTGGCCATGGCAGCAGAGAACACAGGTATATGATGAATCGGGTCTGTGGACCAACACAACCGCACCTCATTCTTTTTAGTAATGACCATGTTGCGGGTTAGGCCCCCAAAAAACTTTAAATTCTAAAGTCTTAATACGTTCCCATGCAAATGGTTGGTAAGATTTGAATCTTGGTTGGCAACGATAAATTGTGGATATAAATTTTTTTGATCCACAAACAATCCATACAGAACTTCAGTGAAAAACTACTCCAAAAAAAAAAAAAAAATCAAAAAAAAAAAAAAATCAAGGGGAGTAGTTACATTTACGGTTTCCACCTGAATTCCAGGTTGGGCAGTGAATGGGGGGTCTGGGAATACGGGTGCGTAGGGGCTAAACACAGGCTGATCCTGCTAACACTGCGCTTTTGGGGACACTATACTATTGTGAACGTTGGTATGGTTCTGCTCAAAGATATTGATCTGTTCAGACACTATACTAGCAATAGAGTTTTATTGTGTATGTGAGCGTGTTCCTGGCAATCTGACACGATATAGAAAGGACAATAAACGCTATCTGAAGTCGCCCGTGACACTAATACAGTGATCAGATAAAAAATAAAAATCTGTACACTGTACTAAGGACACTGGTGACGGGGGTTAACTGGGGGGTGATCAGGGGGTTAAATATGACCTAACTGTGCCTTTACTGTGAACGTGTGCTTTTACTCACGTGGAGCTACTTTCTTCTCTCTCTGCAATGGAATGTGAGAGAAGATTACATAGGCACCGGAAATTATGCAATGTAACCACAGGCACATGAAGAGCTTTGATTCGGTACAGCCAATCAGCAGGTCCACCAGGCCAGAATCTGGTGAGTGATTGGTGCTGTACAGAATCACAGCACCGCTGGGCACACACACCCCCTGCCCGTGAACATGGCGGGATCACACATACATATACACACACACACACGTGTGTGTAACGATTTTCCATAGAGAGAGTCTGCCCTGTAGCAGTACAACTGCTATTGGATGGAAGGGAACTGGTTGAGAGATCTGGAGGGCATAAGCAATAGGTGGCTGCGCAGCCACTAGAATGCTTCCATCTGACATCCAGAAGTCGGCTTGTTAGATATACACACACTCCCGATGGCTGCATCTATTGACATAAGGACCTGGCAGAGAAAGTGTTAAAGAAATTTCATAGGTGGTTTCATATACAATTCTTGCAAGATATAAGGAATTAAAACAATACCTGTTCAGCCAGCTGATGCTTGTTTTCAGCTGCTGCCTTTTCTAGTTCCCCTATACGCGTTTGTTGCTGCTGAACCACAGAACGGAGGTGTTTTATGCAGTTGTGGTTTGGTAGTTCATCTTTGGGCATTTCTAGGCTGGTGGACAATAAGATACATAATACAAGCTAAAAAAGACTTGTACGAACGATCTAAAAAACTGTACAAAAACATGAACATAATCATGCTAAATAAACACATTACTAATACGCATCTAAAAGTTATCACATTACTGTAGCTTATAAAATTAAAACAGACTGAAAATGGCGCATCCAGCTAACATGCTTATCAAGCCAAATATCTCCCTTTAGCTATGTATTCTGTTTTCCACGACTGTCTGAGATCTCATGGGACAAGGAGTTTGAGTAGCTTAGCTAAAATTTTTATAGCAGATGCCTAGTTCTAGCAATCTGTTAACAGATTATTCAGGGATTATATGATGATTGCAGCATAGTAATAATCTTTTTTTTTTTTTTTTTTAAACTGCCAGGAGCCATAAAACAAAAACCACACACCAAAAACACATGTGGTGTGTGTAGTGCTTAATAGCTAAACTGAATAGGCGCTGTAAAAATGTACCTGCAACGCAAACCCCATTTTCCTGCCTGGGTTAAATGCAGCAAGAATAAGCAGCAGAGAGAGAGAGCGCGAAAGAGAGAGAGAGAGAGAGAGAGCGCGAGAGAGAGAGAGAGAGAGCGCGCGCGAAAGAGAGAGAGAGAGCGCGCGCGCGCGAAAGAGAGAGAGAGAGAGCGCGCGCGCGCGAAAGAGAGAGAGAGAGCGCGCGCGCGAAAGAGAGAGAGAGAGAGAGAGCGCGCGCGCGCGAAAGAGAGAGAGAGAGAGAGAGAGAGCGCGAGAGAGAGAGAGCGCGGCGCGCGCGAAAGAGAGAGAGAGAGAGAGAGAAGAGAGAGAGAGAGAGCGCGAAAGAGAGAGAGAGAGAGAGAGAGAGAGCGAGAGCGCGAAAGAGAGAGAGAGAGAGAGCGCGAAAGAGAGAGAGAGAGCGCGAAAGGAGAGAGAGAGAGAGCGCGAAAAGAGAGAGAGAGCGAAAGAGAGAGAGAGAGAGCGCGAAAGAGAGAGAGAGAGCGCGAAAGAGAGAGAGAGAGAGAGCGCGAAAGAGAGAGAGAGAGAGAGCGCGAAAGAGAGAGAGAGAGAGAGAGCGCGAAAGAGAGAGAGAGAGAGAGAGCGCGAAGAGAGAGAGAGAGAGAGAGCGCGAAAGAGAGAGAGAGAGAGAGAGCGCGGGAGAGAGAGAGAGAGAGAGAGCGAGAAGAGAGAGAGAGAGAGAGAGAGCGAAAAAAAGAGAGAGAGAGAGAGCGAAAAAGAGAGAGAGAGAGAGCGCGAAAGAGAGAGAGAGAGCGCGAGAAGAGAGAGAGAGAGAGAGAGCGAAAGAGAGAGAGAGAGAGCGAGAGAGAGAGAGAGAGAGAGAGAGAGAGAGAGCGCGAGAGAGAGAGAGAGAGAGAGCGGGAAGAGAGAGAGAGAGAGAGAGAGAGAGAGGAGGGGCAGCGCGCGAAAGAGAGAGAGAGAGAGAGCGCGCGCGCGAGAGAGAGAGAGGGGGGGGAGCGAAAGAGAGAGAGAGAGAGAGCGAGAGAGGAGAGAGAGAGCGGGAAAGGAGGGGAGAGAGAGCGAGCGAGCGAGAGAGAGAGCGCGAGCGAGAGAGAGCGCGGCGCGAAAGAGAGAGAGAGAGCGGGGCGGCGGGAGAGAGAGAGAGAGAGAGGAGAGAGAGAGAGCGGAGAGAGAGAGCGCGCGAAGAGAGAGAGAGGAGGGAGAGAGAGAGAGAGAAAGAGCGAAGAGAGAGAGAGAGAGAGAGCGCGAAAAGAGAGAGAGCGAGCGAGAAGAGAGAGAGAGAGAGAGAGCGAAAGAGAGAGAGAGAGCGAAAGGGAGCGAGAGAGAGAGCGAGCGAGCGAGAGAGCGAAAGAGAGAGCGAGGGAGCGAGCGAGGCGAGCGAAGAGAGAGCGAGCGAGCGAGAGCGAGCGAGCGAAAGAGAGAGAGCGAGCGAGGGCGAGAGAGAGAGAGGAGAGAGGAGCGCGAAAGAGAGAGAGGGGCGAGGAGCGAAAGAGAGAGAGCGAGCGCGCGAAGAGAGAGAGAGGCGAGCGGGCGGAGAGAGAGAGAGCGAGCGCGAAAGAGAGAGAGAGAGCGAGCGCGAAAGAGAGAGAGAGCGAGCGCGAAAGAGAGAGAGAGAGCGAGCGCGAAAGAGAGAGAGAGAGCGAGCGCGAAAGAGAGAGAGAGCGCGCGCGGAGAGAGAGAGAGAGAGCGCGCGAAAGAGAGAGAGAGAGCGCGCGAAAGAGAGAGAGAGAGCGCGCGAAAGAGAGAGAGAGAGCGCGCGAAAGAGAGAGAGAGAGCGCGCGAAGAGAGAGAGAGAGCGCGCGAAAAGAGAGAGAGCGCGCGCGAAAGAGAGAGCGCGGGCGAGAGAGAGAGAGAGCGCGAAAAGAGAGAGAGAGCGCGAAAGAGAGAGAGAGAGCGCGAAAGAGAGAGAGAGAGCGCGAAAGAGAGAGAGAGAGCGCGAAAAGAGAGAGAGAGCGCGAGAGAGAGAGAGAGCGCGAAAGAGCGCGAAAGAGAGAGAGAGCGCGAAAGAGCGCGAAGAGAGAGCGAAAGAGCGCAAAAGAGAGAAAGAGCGCAAAAGAGAGAAAGAGCGCAAAAGAGAGAAAGAGCGCAAAAGAGAGAAAGAGCGCAAAAGAGAGAAAGAGCGCAAAAGAGAGAAAGAGCGCAAAAGAGAGAAAGAGCGCAAAAGAGAGAAAGAGCGCAAAAGAGAGAAAGAGCGCAAAAGAGAGAAAGAGCGCAAAGAGAGAGAAAGAGCGCAAAAGAGAGAAAGAGCGCAAAAGAGAGAAAGAGCGCGAAACAGCGAGAGAGAGAGAGTGAGAGTCTGCAGCACTGAAACTGTCATATTTGAGAAAGAAAATTGTTTGACATGCCTTCAAGGCAGGCATGAGGAGGGAGAAAGGAATTCCCACAAAAGGAAATAGAAAAGCACCAGGAAAACAAGGAATTGCTTCCAGGATATTGTGTTCCAATGCAGCATAAGAAAAATAAATAAATAAGGAAAACCAAGGCAGAACAACACCTGTCAGGGCAATGGAGAGAAGGCAGCTCCATTATTACAAATCAACCTTTTAAAGGGAGTAACCTCTGAGAAAACAAGTGGAGGGCTCTTCGTGGGCATAAGCACTTGAAGGCCCTAGAGGGACACAGAAGGTCGCAACATGTGATGGAGAGTAACTACTCGTAAAAGAATGCACAAGGAATGCGATGGCCAGGTGTTAGGAAGAAGAAATACAGGGCAAAACCAATATTTGCATGGTAATAGGGGCTAGGTGTTTGGCAAGTTCAAATAGACGTTGCAGGATAAGGAACAGGAAAAAGCTTTAGGATAAAGATCCCCATCATAAAACCGAGAACTACTTCATGTGACAGACTGTGGCTGTATAGGAGAAGTGATCTGTATGCCCCAAGACAGGGGTGCTCAACCTGTGGCCCTCGAAACCCTCTGATGTAGCCCTCCACCTCAAACTGAATGGAGGTGTTTTGGTGAACGTTGAGAAAGCACAGCTAACCGGCAGGTGCAATTTGCTGCACCCTCAGTGCAGCTAAAACCGCAGTGCATCAGTTTAAAAGCAGCCTTATAGGGGGTCTCAGGACAGTAAATTTTCAGCAATGCCAGGACTAAATGGATTGAATGGTGTGAATAATTAGGTGGTATAACGCCAATACAGTGCACCTGCTAATAAAGCTAGGGGGGAAAAAAAAAACCACAACAGTGGAAGGTCCACAGAATATCATAACGCTCAGACACTGCAGAAATTAGGAGATGTTTATGGTGATGATGAGACTTGTAAGGAGGTGTAGGGAAATGGTCTGCTTTTTTTGTCTGGAGTAGAAGCAAGCATAGTTCGTGTTACAAGCCTTAGTTGTATGTTTTTTACTTCTAACAAGGACATAAACCGCTACTTACCCACATCCCTGCTCACATGTTACTGGTCGCTTTGGATTGTGTTCACAGTCGTTAAGATGAGACATGAGGTTATCAAGTCGCACAATTGTGGTACAGCCAAAAACCGCGTTGTCACAAGTAATCTGTAATTTGGAGAGCATATTCCGCATGATGCGGGGGACTGGACGGAGATGAGCTACCGTTACAACACTGCGATCCACAGGACAGGTCTGCTGCTGGGAGAACCACTGTGTGATGCAGGCATTGCAAAAGGCGTGTTCACAATGAGGAGCCTATTGATTTAAAGTAGTAAAAAAAAACAAAAAAAAAAAAAAAAACACAAATATATATAGATTGTAACGGATAATAAAAACATTAGCAATTACTAAAATTTTTAACATATTTTAGCCTTTTTTAAATGTAACACATTATAAAATTAAAAGAAATAGGAGGGTAAGCATTTGCCTCTGTAGGTATACAGTATGTCTAACAAAAATATTTTAGAAGATAAAAAGTTGGAAGCAATTTATTAGATTTCAGAGATTGCAAAATTTAAAATAGCCAAACAAATGCAAACCATTGTCTCTCCCAGGCAAGCTTAATTTTGAAAGATGAACTATACATTTTCAATAGTATGCATTCTCCACTTTTGCATTAAAAAAATAATACAGATTAAGAATACATGGTAATACTGGATAATTTTCTTGAGGTCCTCAGACCATAAGACCTCAAAGGCAAACCAGCAAAAAAATTATAAGCTGGGGTTATGTCACAACACCTTAAAAAGTGATATTAAAGGCAATTTAAAATAAATAAACATGTTATACTTACCTGCTCCATACAGTGGTTTTGCACAGAGCAGCACCCGTCTCAGCTAATGAGCAGAGAGAGTCCCGGGAGAGCCGTGGCTTTTGTGCACATCACTGGATCGCGATGCACACAGAAGGTTTTCTAGTTCGAATGCATGAAGGTTTAAAAAAAAAAAAAAAATTGAGCCTTTCCAATCACTTTAACAGCTTCCCAAATGCCTTATAGCAGATTATGTGTTTTATAGCAAAAAGTCAAAAATATATTTTAAAAAAAATTGTTTTTTTTTTTTTTTTTTAAGTTTATAGCGTAAAAAATAAAAACCACAGAGGCAATCAAATACTACCAAAAGAAAGCTCCATTTGTGGGGAAAAAAAAAGGACACAAATTTAATTTGGGTGCAGGGTTACATGACCGCGCAATTGTCAAAGTAACATAGCACCTTACAACAAAAATGGCCTGTTTAGGAAGGGGGTAAATCCTCTGGAGGGCAAGTGGTTAAACAGGTTTGATAGCCTCTCTTCTGTCCAGCCCACATACATTTTTGTTATAACCTCTTTCCCCACACCCAATTCCTCCCTCTTCTTTCCTATCCTCCTCTTTATCTTGTCTCCTGATAAACTGCCCTTCTATCATGCTTATTATTATAAACACCACAAGGTACAAGGCTTGCTTGCATTACTGCCTCCCACACACACACACACACACACACACACACACACACACACACACACACACACACACACACTATGTGCTCTGTAAACAGCTACTTGTCCTTTATTGCACCTGTTCTCAATCATACTGCTATTGTCTCAATTTTCCTGACAGATTTTGTATAGCATTCTGAAAAATGTCTTTTTATTCCTGGTGCAGAAACCCACAGTATTCAGCCAGCTTTAATATTTCAAAACAACCTCCAAAACTGCCAGCTATTTCCTGCCAGCAAGGAATGGAAAAGTAAACACTTCAAGTGTTACAATTTTCCCTGCAAAATATTTCTAAACATAGCCACATTCTCTAAAAATAGACCAAGTTACAGAAGCCTTGATTTGCTTAGGGTCTACTGCCACTGAAAACTGATGTAAGAAAATATATTTACTTTGAGCAGCATAACATACCCAATCTAATAAAACATTAACCACTTTCCCTCCTGAGGATTTACCCCCCTTAATGACCAGGCCTCTTTTTGCTACTCGGCGCTGCACTAATTCAACTGATAATTGCGCGGTCATGCAATGCTGCACCCAAACAAAATTCTACGTCCTTTTTTTTTTTTCACACAAATAGAGCTTTCTTTCGGTGGTATTTGATCACCTGTGCGCTTTTTATTTTTCACGCTATAAACAAAAAAGACCAAAAATTTTAAAGAAAAACAATATTTTTTACTTTCAGCTATAAAAAATATATAGTAAACTCAAAGTTAGTTATAAATTTAGGCCAAAATGTATTCTACTACGTTTTTGGTAAAAAAAATCCCAATAAGTGTATATTGATTGCTTTGTGTGAAAGTTATAGCGTCTAAAAACTATGGTATAGATCAGCAATGGGCAAACTACGGCCCGCGGAGCTAGGCTCCCGCTAGGCTCCTCTCACAGTCCGCCCTGAAGACCGATGTAGCATGAAAATCTGTCTCCTATGAGGATCTGTCCCCCTCGATCTGTCCCTCCAGATAGGAGACAGATTTTCATGCTACACCGGAACGGCGCGGGAACACGGCGAGAGGAAGGCGCAGAGCAAAGGTAAGTGAATTGACACAGGGGGGACTTGGGGACTTAATATGGGGGATGAATTAATATGAGGAATGAATTACTATATGGGGGATGAATTAATATGAGGGATGAATTACTATAGGGGGGATGAATTACTATAGGGGGGATGAATTACTATATGGGGGATGAATTACTATGCTTACTATGGGGGGAATATTACTATACTTACTATGGATGACACATACACATTCATCTACTCTTGGTCCGGCCCCCGGGTCCAATATATGAACCCATTGCGGCCCTCAAGTCAAAAAGTTTGCCCACCCCTGGTATAGATACTGCAATTTACGCCATTTTTTTGCTATACAGCTCTGCACTAGTTTAACGGACAATTGCGCAGTCATGCAATACGGTACGTAAATGAAATTTACATCCTTTTTTCCCCATAAATTGAGCTTTCTTTCGGAGGTATTTGATCGCCTGTGTGTTTATTTTTTGCGCTATAGAAAAAAAAAAAAAAAAAAAAAAAGGCTGACAATTTAGAGGAAAAAAAAAAAAAAAAAAAAAAAAACAAAAACAATATTTTGGACTTTTTGCTATAAAACATGTCCAGTAAAAAAAAAAAAAAATGTAAATATCAAATTTAGGTCATAAATTTCGGCCAAAATGCATTCTGCGACAAAAAAAAAACGTGTAAATTAATTGGTTTAGATGAAAGTTATAGAGTTTACAAATGGCGGGAAATATACTGGGATTTTTAAAAAAAAATATTATACTAATAAATGGCGGCGATCAGCGACTTATGGCAGGACTGCGGTGGACATTCTGACACTGGGGGGGAACTGACTTGGGGTCACTGACATCCCCAGTGACACCAATACAGTGATCAGTGCAAAAAAAAACAAAACAAAAAAAAAAAAAAAAAACACTGCCACTGTACTAATGGCACTGGGAAGGAAGGGGTTAACTTTATTATTCAGTGAAAGTGTTAACAGTGTGAGGGGAGTGTTTTACTAGGGGGCGGGAGTGTGAACTGCAGGAAACACTGCTGATCGGGAGAGATAAACTCTTCTCTCCCGATTAGCCCGTCAGGAGCTGTCAGGGAACTGACAGAGAGCAGAGCTACTGCAACGCTGCTCTCTGTCAGTGATTGCCGCTAATCGCCGGGACACAGCCGGTAATGATCGGCTGTGACCTGACTGACATCCGCGGCCCCTACCTGTTTTGAAAACACACGTTTTAAACCGTGGTTTTGCCAAGCCATGCTGCCCTGCCAACGTATTTCTACAGTGGCTGGGCGGCATGTGGTTAATATAACCTGGCATTTTAAAAACACTTGATTTTTCTTTTCCATTTAAGTTTCAGAATGAAAAAAATAATTCTTTAAGACTGAAACAGCCACTTTGGTAGGCAGAAAAATGAGACATATGTAGGCAGCCGCTAATGTTTTGAAATTGTTATTTTCCTGACCATACCCAACTTCAATATACTTTGAGTCCCTTACCACAAACATAAATGCAGCAAGTGAAGTCTAAATTAAGTCAAAACCTAAACGGAATATTCCATGGCCAATGAGCGAGGCATCAGTGAGGCTGCTAATTAGGCAACTAATTTGTTTCCAGGAGAGAGAAAAAAAAAAAAATCTAAAAAAATTGGGAACGACAGCGAACACAATTATTCTAGCACGTGTCAGCACATGTATTTTAAAATGTAACCTATGAGGATAGGAACATGGGACCTACTGTACTGTTTTCCAGGTTACAGCTTCATGATCCTTGACGAGTCACTGCTTTAGAACAACCAGATGTATATATCATGTGCTGGGATACCTGGTATGTACACATACCAGGAAAACGGTTTAAAATACTGTGGAAGAGCAATTTGAACAGAGTATAAAATGAAAATTCATAAGTAGAATAAAATCCCTAGTCTAATGAGGCTACACACTAAGAAAATTGGATGGAAAATTCCATATTCGAAACAATCATTCAATTTTCTTATAGTGTGAACACAACTTTCAAGAGCTAATTCAGACATGGGAGTAGCAATAGGTGTTGCAGGGGTCACAGTGGCGACCCCACTCATGCTCCAAGGGAGCCCGGGCAACAAAAGGAACAGGGACAGGATGGGCTGATCGAGTCTAGTAAATGCCACTGCCGATAGTCCCTCTTGTTGCCCAGGCATGAGCCCCCCTGTGTTCTCCCCATCTCAGTGGCGTGCAGTGCCACTGCATAGACTTTTCACAGGCACTGTGCCCTTTCACTTTTCCATCTGGCCGCCAACTTCAGGTGTCACGCCTAATACAAGCTGCTAACACCAGCAGACAGCTGCACCGCTCCAACCAGATGATTCCTTCCGAGAGGCTGGCTGCTGCTGGAACGGATGAGATGCTGTAACTCTTCTACATAACATGTGAGTGCAATGGTTGTTACTTTTCTTCTGTAATAAAGATTTTACTGAACTATGGATTGCGCTTCTTTTTGTTCTTTTCCAGTGTTCTCCCCTAAGAGGTTTGGAAAACTGCAGTCCTTGTTCAATTGTGTCTTGATTGGATTAGTCCTATACACTGACAGATGATTGTCTGAATTATCTACCTTAGGTTTCTGCCACTCCATCCCAGAATAATCATGCATATAGTTGGTTTTGTGATTTACCCAGGGTAGATTGGTCCTGCACAATTTCTATATCAAAAGTCCGTTCTGACACTGTCCACTGCCCTACTGACTGATATCAACCACTGCTCTACCAACACTGTCCTCTGCCTTACTGACTGAGAT